GGGCGAAAACAGCGACTCCGCGATAAAACAGCGCTCCGAATGGCGGCCTAAAAGCGTCGCAGGGCGTAAAGTAAACGAGCGAGGCGAGATGCGAAACCGCATCGTTGCGTGCCACGGCTGTGCCGTGTCGCGAGGAATTACGCGATGCTGACGCAAAAGTTGGAGTTTTCAGGCTCTTTGCGCGCTTCCCGAGTGCTACGTGCGATGATAGAGAGAGACAGGAGTCCCTCCCGATGTCGTTCAACGCGAGAATATGAGGAATGAGGGAAATGGATTTTCTTCTCGCGCGACTTTTCAAAACGCAAAGACAGCCGAAATAGACTACTGCGAGTGTCGCGGTTTATCCCTACTGTCTCCGACCGCGCTATGTTATGTCGAAACTCGACATTTCCGATCGGATCGTAGGGACACACGAGGTAAACCTGGAAATCGGAGCCCGCGTGGTGGCCACGCCGGTGCCGATCGATCTCGAGTTTTTCCGCACCAGTTAGGTGTAGTCGCGCGCATCCGTCAAATTTGTCGGTCGCCACGCTTCGTAATCGTGATTACTGTTCTCTTGATACCCGTAGCACGAAAACAGCGAGCAAATCGATTGTTAAACGATTGAAACATCACTCCAGTTTTCGGCGTGATCATATTTTCTTCTAAAATGTTTTCTAATTAACACACAAAATAAGTAAAACAAGAATATTCTATTTAGAAATAGCAAGACTTGTACTCTAACATTTTTTTTTATTGATACGCGATTATAGGTGAATTTTTAGGCTAGTAGAGAATCGATAATTTTTGCGAAACAAGAATCTTTCATCTGGAAATCACGAGATTTTTGTTCTATATTTCTTCTTATTGACATACAATCGCATGTTGATTTTTAGACCGGAAAATAGATAATCATTCGCAAAACAAGAATTTTTCATTTAAAGATAACGAGATTTATACTTTAACATTGTTTTTATTAACATACGGCTATAGGTTAATTTTTAGGCTAGCAGAGAATCGATAATTTTTGTGAAATTAGAATCTTTTACCTTTAGAAATTGTGGTACTCTTTTAATATTTTTTTATTAACACGTAACACTGTGCGTTAATTTCTAGGCCAATGAGAATCGACGATTTTTGCGGAACAAAATCTTTCATTTACAAATTACGGTATTTGTATCAAATATTTTTATAATTAGCATACGCAACATTAATTTTGAATCGATGATTCTTACGAAAGAAGAATCTTTTATTCTATCTAACTTGTTGTTCTGGGTCCTCAAGCTGCATTTTCCAAGTCGGATATCCGTTACCAGTGTATACATTTTCGTCATTTCGGTATAGTTTCCGCTTGGCGCGCCAAACTCCTCGCCAACTGCTAAGAGCGCTTGTTCAACTGCAATTTTCAGCGCGTACATGCGGACGCTGTATTATTCAGAATATAATAACATCGTCGTTCACATTGCTACGACCGTACGGACGCAATAAATCGCGCGCGACGCGGCCTAAATCTTCGCGGAAACGCGAATTTCTGCCCATCCCTCCGTGTCTCGCACCCCGTAAGAATTTCTTGGGCGAGCAATTCGCGACGCGCAGGATGAGAAAGTAGAGTAGAGTTTTGCTCAGGCCTCGGGTTGGAAACCCTTTTCAGAGCTTTTAATAATACATAAAGAATGGAACCATAGATATAATACATTCAATTACACAAATGTGAATCGTAACACTAATTGACGAATAAATGATACAATCAAGAAACCTGAAATATACGAGAATAACGTCCCGGTGGTGGAAAAAAATTACCGCTATAATTATTATAAGGGAGAACAGAAACTTTTTTTATGTTCTTGTAAAAACTATGCTAGGTGAAAGGGGGGAAGGAAGAAAGAAACATTTATTTTAGTCGTAGGGCATATCCTCTAAGGACTGTTACATGTGAAATTATGATACATAAAGCATACATTGAGAAAGGAAGTGCTTGAGTTAATGAGACTTTGCTTGAACGAACAAAATATGAATAAACATTCAGTCGATTGAACGAATTGTATCGTTATTACGATGAATTATTAATGGATTGCGACTTGGTCAGTAACTTACTGTTGCACTAACGCGTAATTTATTCACGCAATATTTCTTTGAGGACGAGTGATCGCTGATTTTGTCGGTTTAACTGCTTTTTTTCCAGTGTATGGTTAATGCAAAAGGGTTACACATAAGAAATATACATATTTAAAAAAATATATATTTAGGATGATATTTATTTAGAATGATATTAAGTTTTACAAATTTAAATTGCTTAACGTACTTTGAGGAAATTAATCATCAATGTATAGATATCTATTAATAAATTGAAATAGTTTCCTTCTTTAAATTATGTATATATAGCGCATAATTATACTTAGGTAGGAAAACGTACAAGTAAAACAATGAAGAAAAAAAGAAAAAGAAGAAAGCAAAAAAATTGGAGAGAAAAAAAGAGAGAAGCGAGAGATCCCTTGTTCTCTCGTCTATTCGCAACGACGGCGAGCCGTGAATGGCGCGATATTGATTGTGCACCTTTAAGATGTCTTCTATAAATTTAGATGGACCGTCGCTGTATAGAGCAAATATTGTTTATGCCTTAAACGTGTTGCGTTAACAAACATTATAGAAAAAGTCGCGTACGCGTCCCCCATTTTTATCTCTCGTGGCGAGGGAGAATTGCCGGTCCTGTGGGATACCGCCACCGCCACCGCGAATCACAATTTCGCGCGCATGATTCCCACACGCGTATTTGTCATCGGAATTTGCAAAATTGGTTGGAATTTAAAGTCGTCGGCACGTCGAAATTTTGGATATTTCAGGTTACACAGCAATTAATTAGCTATAATTACGCAAGAATTATCCAAACCACAAAATGATGATTTCTGAGTTTTTTTTTTACCAATGGATAGTTCATGCGTCTTCCTACATAAATTAGAAACTCAACTATGAAAGGATCCAAGCCTTATTGATTATTAATTGATGGCCGCCTAAGATTGATTAAAACACAATTTGTATCTTCTCCTGGTTGCGTCATTTTTTTATTGGTTGCGGTTTTTAAGAGTTAAGTTTATCAATAAATATTCTTAAGATTGTGTTTCCTGAACAATTGCAAGAAATCTTACTGCTATCTGTCTTAAGTTGTATATCAAATTTTCATCTTCGTTTTTTTCGAAATGTACTTCATATGTGAATTGGATCATTCTTGCATAACTACCTCTCCTTTCCTTAATGTGCTTGTTATCATCGAACAACCGGTGATAATTCACCGATGACTCGCCTCCCTCTAGATTAAAGCTTGGCTTGTAGAATGGACAAACTTAATCAACGCACGGGTTAATGGAAATCCACGTACGACCTGCCTGATTGCACCTGACTTATGAATACGTTTATGAAAATTTCACGCTCTCTCACAAAGCCTGCCTTCATGGCAGATTAGTAGAGGTGGCTCGCGAATCTTAGAGTCTCGTTTTACGATATTCATGTGTCCGTGAGCGTTTATTGCTTCAGCTAGGCTTCCCGTTTCTCGTGTTCATTGAGGTCTCTATATCTGGGTCGGTCCAGTCGTGGCATAACTATAATGCGATCTAAATATAATCGCGGGTGCGTTTGCCCGGTGTGGCTAAAACGAGAAATACCAATTTATCGCGAACGGATCTGCCGCGGAAATAACGCGGAAGGTATAAAAGTCCCAATGGGAATTCTGATCGTTAACAAATCGCACATTGATTTTCAATTTGCTAGCTTTAATATATCGAGCCTAATTGAAATATTTCTTAAATTCATCTTCTCTTTCCTTTTTTATTTTTTTTTATTTTTTTTTGCATTTTACGTTGTCTTTTTCGTACTAAAAAGGAACATATTCTCGATTAATTAAATAAATAGAATAAACAAATATATACATTATATGAAGAGAGATATTGTAGCTTCTTATAAATTCCATGTAAATTTTTTAAATTTTACGTTATATTTTTACACTGAGGGAAAAATATCTAAGAGACAAAAAATATTTATTCAATGAATATTAATGGTATATTTATTTATACTTTGATGTATAAAATATTTTTCAAATAAGTCTTTGATATATAAAATATTTTTCAAATAAGACTTTGATATATAAAATATTTTTCAAATAAGAATATATACATTTTTTTAAAAGCTTACCTTTTTACAAAAGCAATTGATTACTCGGCTTAAATAAAAGAATTTATATTTGAGTAAGTATGTTATTATTAGTATCTACCGAACAAATATTTCTTATTTTTTGGATATTTTATCTCTCAAGATAACAATGCAGGAATAGACTTTTTATTTTTTGGATATTTTACCTCTCAAGATAACAATGCAGGAATAGACTTTTTATTTTTTAGATATTTTATCTCTCAAGATAACAATGCAGAAATAGACTGTCAGTGAAATCTACTCTGCTAAGGAACATAGTAAATGTTTTAATAGCACATTTTAGTTTCTAAGAAATAGTACGTATAAAATGGAAGAATAATCAATTACCGCGCGGAATTTCGTTCTATTCCTCGACTACAAAATTCTACGGCAATTTTCGCTACAAAATTCTCTTCGTATAGATGTCTTATAACATACATTCATTCTGTACATCTCTCTTTCTCTCTCAAAGTTTCTGAGCTGCTACATTCAACAAGAGGTGAAATAGGAGACAAGTAAACTAATTAAAATAAGAATAGATGTGTAAAAAGCAAGGCGTCGTCGTCTTCGCGTTGATTTCTTTGTCGTCGAAGTAGACCGCTGAATTTATCCGGACAGTCGACATTAATTTGTCTCTTGTTGTTCACCCCCGTTTATTCGCCGTTTACACGATCGATAGTCTTTTATAGACAAAGAGAGAAGAGCCAGAGAAAGAGAGAGAGAAAGAGAGAGAGAGGGGGAAAGATCTCCCGTCGGAAGTGGAATTAAGCTCCGCGCGCGCGGAATTGTACTTCCGGCATGTCAAACCGCCGGAACGACCAGCCTTCTGATTCTGCCTTCAGGTGCGCCGGGGTCTACACAGGCTGCAGGACGCGCTGGCCCTGGTGGAGAAAAACACACTGGGTCTGCAAACAAACTGCGCCTCGGTCGCCGAGGAAGTGGACGAGATTTATCGGAGGCTGAGCAAGGCTTTGAAAGACCGCACGGAACATCTGCGTAACGAGGTCGATCGATACCTCGGCACCGAGCTCAGAGGCCTGATTCAACTCAAAGAGAATCTCGAATTGGAGATCGCGAATATCCAGAGCAACTGCGACCTGGCGGAGGCGCACATAAACGAAAATGTACCGTGGGACGATGCCGAGCTGCTGGACACAAAGGAGCTTTTCCTACGTACCGTGGAATTTATCAGGTTTGTCGCGCCTGCCGAGTAATCTCCCTCGCCCCTCCTTCTTTTTTTCCCATTCCTTCCCCGGCCCCGCTCGTTAAATCCACGGGCTTCCATCCCGGGGCGTCCTCCAACGCGCGCGATTCCGGCGCGATTTATTATCGGCTATCCGTTCAGCCGCCAACCACCCTCTTTTCACGGGCGGATTCGAAAAAAATCGTTAAACCAAACGATCCCGCACGCTGTCCCATTGCCACGAGCTGTTTCATTTCAATTTCGGCGGCCGCTTTTCTGTGACGCTCTCCCCTCATCGGTGCTCTGTCTGTCCTCGACTTTTATCACCGCGTCCGCGCCACGTCGGGCAGATCGTTGCGAGCCGTTGCCGGGTTGAGCGTTGACTTGTTTATCGGGATCGTGTATCTGACCGGGCAAATAATCTCTACGTGGAAAGAAAGAAATTGACCGAATCAACGTGACAATGTTAACCCTTCAGCTGTCTGTGAGAAAGCCGAATATTCGATAGTTCGTCAATTTTTACGAAAGCTCCGGGAAAATTTCGAAATAGCGCCAATCTGCTTACAGCTTCTGATTTTATCGCGCTACTATTTTATACCCGAGATTTTTCTACATCTCTGACTTTCTCAACCATCGATTTATTATCGTGGTATTGATTGGATGAAAGGATCAATGGACCAAATTTGGTTGTCAAGAATCAAGAATTCTGTGTCCTTCAACCAAAAAACTCGTTCACGTCATTGTCATGTTAATTTGACTACTTTGACCATTCGCGACACATCTTTGTCTGCAAATAAATATTTTAGCTGGCTGATCTTCGAGGAATTAATCAGTCGCTTTGAAAAACGAATCCATAGGGTATAATAGATAAAGGAAGAAAAATGGGAAACAGTCTTTATAAGATCGCGCGACGATAATCCCGAATGAAAAAAGAGGAGTGGGAATCGTAATTCGAGCGCTGTCGATACGAGTGGCCCGATATCCGGGCATCGGCTACATGAATTCCTGCGGAGATTTGTGTTAATAGCATTGTGAATGCAGCGTAAATTCAGCGATAGCCTCGTAATGTAATTAACATTCGACGTTACCGCACGCGTCCCACTATGAAATATGTAATGCCAGGCGAAATCTGCGTGCCCCGGCGAATTACAGACAGACAGACAGAATCGCGCGCAACAAAATTGTCGATTTACGTGCGATTAAATCTCGCGCGCGCCCACGCATCCGGTGTCGCGCGAAAATACGGATGTGCCAGAGTGCGAAAGGTGTGGCACTTCCTCTCTCGCGCTCGCACGATAAAATACGTGCTCGTGGTGCCTTCGCGGAGAGCGATGCGCGCTTCATTGATAATTAATGCGCCAAATTAACGGCGCGATGAATTTTAAAAGCTCGCGTCAGAGTCGCGCGCGCACGCTTGCGTAATCCTTTCCGGTGCATTATTTAAATGGAAGCGTCGCCACCGCCGCTACCGCGTTTCGAAATTCCGGCCAAGTAGACGCGACCGGTCTTTCCTCGCGTACAATCTGGTGTCACGAATTCGTTTCTATTAGCGTGAAATAATGTTATCGAAATGACGTGCGCTTTGTCGTGATTTTATTTTCAGAACTTTTCTTGTTACAACTCTTTCTCCCTCTCTCTTTCTCTTTGTCGTTCTTTCTTTCCTTTTTTCCGCCGTTGATGCTTCTCATTAATTCGTACGATTAGAACACGTCGGCTTGTCTCGCTGAGCGCACGAAGATGAACGATTGTCCTTTGCAGGAACTTCGAATACGAAGCGGGGGATTACAGCCGACGCGTCCGCTTCGTGATGGCGCACGATCCGAATCAGCTTGTCCTACACATGGCGGGTTACGGCGAATTGAACATTAAACCCGAGAGCGGGAGCGGCGGATTGCTGGGTAGCTCCAGCAGTTTAGCCCCACCTGGAGGCTCGCCCGGCCTCATGAGAAGCAAGAGCGATCACCGCCTCGCCTCGCAGTACAGGCAGCAAGAAGAGGAACGTCTGGCCAGGAATCGATACGTGCCCGAATACGAGTAACTATACCTTCTCCCTTTTATGTCCGTTATTATCCCGGATGTCGATTTCGTCCTGGCGTCGTTCTCGCCAGGATCCCGCCGCGGATAACCGATTCCCGACCGCCGCCGCGCCACCGTAAACTGTGTTCGCCCGCTCTATATCGCGAGGATTAACTGAGACCACTCTGCCGTTTCTCAAGTGTCGACTTCAGTTTTAATTCGGCATTAAATTAACAATAGCAGCATCGAACCCGTATAAAGCATTAACACACTGATACATAAAACAGAGTAGAATCTCCTTTTTGATTATTGGTTTTACCATTGTAGTATTGATTGAGTTTTATAAAGGATTAATTTATTCTATTGAGAGAAATAAAATATAAATAAACCGTTCTCTTTGTTCTCTGAAAAGTCTTCAGAAAGAAATAACGTTCATGAAATATTGATCCGTATAAAACCGGAGGAGAATACGGAACATTACATATATTGTTTGGTAGAAAACGAAGATGACTCTTTCTTCTTTGAAGAAGAAGTTACTCGTGTAGACTTCAACTTCAACATCGGTAGCGCGGCTTAATCCGATTAAAAAAACTCCCACTCGTGTCGGGACCATTTCTCCCGTCATTTGTCATCGGGATCAATTTATTCTGTGCACCTTGGGACCGATTGAGTACTGCAAGGCAACAGTCGACAAGAACCCAAGGTGTCTTCGGATTATCTGGGGAAGATTGACCGCAAGGTCGAGCGACGCTTCCTTAATTTATGGCGGCGGACTAGTTTTTTCGAAACGATCAATCAGCCATCCCGGCGACTCCGCGCGCGATTTTATTTACAGGAACACGCGGAGGTGTGCATTCACGTGTGCGGGATGACCGTGAATAATAAACTCGCGGCTCGTTGCAACAGCAGCGAGCGCGCGAATATAGAATACAGCCGCGAAAATAGAATGAAACGTCCAGCAGACGGCATTCTGCCTTTTCTTTCGACATTCTTGCATAGATCTTGTCAAACGTCCAGGAATTTATTCACCAGGTGTGTATCCTCAGGACCGCCAAGGGGCGTATTTTCAGTGGCTCATCAAGGAAGCTATTCATGAATTCACTATTTATCCATCAAAATTACGTTTTCATATATTCATTTCAGTATCTGAATAATTAATGTCAATTTCAAACTCATTTCACGATATCGCCTTGCTACGTTTTACTCAGATATTTAAAGCATAAAACAACAATCTCCTGACTTATAATCGACTATTGCACAAAAACAGTGCAATAAATACTATTTTTTCTCCTATATCGCGTTTGTTAATATGTAACATTTATAACGATGAGTTTTTTCATTTGGAAAAAATTTTTATTTTAAACTGCACTAGAATAATGTTTACCTATATTGCTTTTGTTATAAGGTTATTATCGCAAAATTGCGATATTTAGTATAAAATTTTTGTGCAGACAAATCGCATGAAATTGCGAATGTATTTTACTGCGACAAATACCGCGTAAAATTTTGGTACAATTTTGAGGGTTTTGGCTTAAGCGAATACACTCCTAAAGTTGTATGAGGAGGGGAAAGGGGGATTAAAGGGGAGTGAATAACACTTAATACAATTAACAAATTCCCACATATCTCAATATTTAACAGATCCGCACAAGAGCGCCACAAAATAGCCGGAATGCCGGCTACTGGACGTTTTATTTCACTTCTTCTTGCACAATCGAATGTATGCGGGTGCGGTGACGTTTTATTGTTTATCGCTGCGAAAGTGTAACAGATAGGGTCGATAACGCGGTAACCCGCAGCCTCTCGCCGTTCAAATAATAGAAGATATTAATATTCCATTCGTGTAGCAGATAAACGATGCAGGTGGAATGCCATCGAGTCGACGTGCGACGACGATTGTAATGCGACCGTCGTTCACCTCCAGTTTCGCTCACGGGGACATGTTTACGATTGCATTTCGGCTAATAGGACTGATTCGAGCGGTATCTTTAATCGGACGTTATTTCTTCACGTTTCTGCCCGAGCATGAAAACTTTCATCGGCGTCTTGAGCTCGCCGCAATTTAATACGCTACTCACAGTCCTCGAGTTTCTTTAAGGAAAAACGTCCAGGGAGTGCCGATCATACAACTTTTTCTCAAAAGTGGAAATGCGAAGAGTTTCACATGTAACATCGACGACTTTAACGAACGTGTAATTTCTCAAATAACGGAATTGTGACATTTTAATGTGGAATTTTCCACTTTTCACGAGTTTACGCCAGAAGGAAAGACACACAATCGATATTTAATAGTTATTGGCACGGTGCTCGCCAGATTTCGGCACTTCGGATCTTGTCAAATATTAGAGATGCTGTACACATTAAAATGCAGTTTCATTAAGTACCGCTTTTCTATTTTGTCGTATAGAAGCGCAAATACTCATACACACAGAAAAAGCGATATTCTTATTTGGGAAATATTTTTATTCTCGGTACGTTAACCTGCAAATAAAATTGCACAGCATTAAATGAAGATAAGTTATTTGCCAAAATATATTTTACATGATTCAATCAAGAAAAATCTGTTCTTATTATTCAAAAGCAATGTTCACTAATGAAACACACAAAATATTCGATTAGAAAAACATTTAAACGTCGAAAGAAGATATTATTACTGAAGTTACTCATCTTGTGTACTTCTTATGAGACTATTATAATATTCAAATAAAACTATGATGTTGATTGAAATTCAAAACGATTCTCTTCAACAAAATTAGGTATAGTTGCTTATACATGAAAGAGTAACTGTTAATTTCAGTATATTAGTTTTTCAAGTGGATGCTCAAAGTGTTTTTGTTTGCGCAAAGTGAAAGTACAAGTGTCAATAAATAACGGTGTATCTCGTGTTATATAACAAGTTTTTGTTATTTACGAAATATCTTTTTTTTGTTTTCACAATATATAAACACAAAGTGCTTCGTCATTCATTGGCACTCGTATATTCGCTTTGTAAAAACATTTACAATTCTACACGAGCAAATAGAAAAACGTTGTCAAATGTTGTACCATATCGGTATCCAGCGTCTTCTTAAGGCGTACAGGGATTTGTTAATTATTTATCTGTTATTGTATTTACATTATTCATTTGTTTGTTATCTTTTAAATGCCCATATGTACACTTTAATACTCGACCGTGCGAGTCGAAAACAGGTCGAGTGCCGGCGGGCGGGCGTTTTTCTCTATTTTGCAGATCGTAACTTTCCGTATCTCGACGCGAACACGCGAGCGACATCAAATGATATTTCTATACAAAAGTATCGTTTACACAGCTGTTATAATTTTAACGACACGTCGCTTCGACTCGGCGGCCACCGGCCGGTTATCGGGGAAAACATTGCATTTTAATTATGAAATTTCAGTCGACGATGCGGCGACGCGCTTCGCCGTGAAATAATAATAATCACGATCGACTGCCACGCCGTCGAGAGTATACGCCGAGAGGTATACGCGTCGTAATTAATATGTCCCGTTTAAAAGGGGCGAATTAATCAGTCGACCATGCGAGTACGCGCGAGTTCCGATCCGGTCCGATTCATTCTGCTGATCCGTTCACGGCTGGCGAAAAACTCGCGGGACTGTCCTGCTCACTCTTTCTCCGGGAGACTTTTCCTCGTCTCGTTGTCGAGCGGGAGGACACGGCATGGATTTTTCCGCACACGCGTCTCTATTTCGGTATAAGTTATAAATAAGCGTGTAGTAGTTTCTCTACGTCGCGCTCTTTTTCTCTATTTCTTCCCCCTTCCTCCCTCTCTTTCTCTCTTTCTTTTCCTCTCGACCTTCTCGCGCTGCTCCTCGCATCTCTTGCCCGCGTCCTCCTCTTCCTCTTCCTCCTCTCATCTATTCGACTCAAAGGTACCTTCAACTCCGGAATAGGCGCGACGGGTTTAATTGCTGCCTGTTTCGTGCAATGCCGGTCGTTAGAACCCACTCCGCCGGGCCGTTTTATTAAGCGGCCTCGTCAAAATGTAAATTAAATGCTTTAGGTACGCACGAGCACGTACTTTTTAGCAATTAACGCTCGCGAACTGCAAAGACCTTTATTTCACATGCGGGAATCGCGGCCGCACCCCCAGCCCAGCCCAGCCCAGCCCGGTCGCTCGTGCCGTTTGTTCCGTTTGTTATATAATTGCGCGTGGTCGTGATCGTTTTGTACGATTATTAGAGAAAATACGATTATCCGCCGCGGGGGTCTCATCAATTTGTCCCGTGCGCGCGCGCACTCCAGCCCGGATATTATCGGTGGCGAAATCGCGTAAGCGCTTCTCCACCGGCGACGCGCGTTTTCAGCGTTTCCGCGACGCGACACGGAACGCCCCGCGGTGACAGTAACGGCGTGATATTTATTTTTGACACTTGCCTTGCGATATTCACATCGGAAAACTCGATTACCCGTGCGTTTTTCACAATACTCGTTCAGGAAAGGGTCGCGCGCGGGCTCTCATGGACGTTCCGCTTGTTCGCTGTGCTTGCGTGTACTCGCGCGTGTGTATTGGTGTGTGTGTGTGTGTGTGTGTATATGCATATATTTTTTTCCTTTTTTCTCTCTCGTCTTTTTTGTTGGTCGCGCAGCGTGAAAAGCCGAAATACACGCGAATGCTCGTCAACGCCGTTGCCGCGGCGTGTTCTTGCCAGCGTTTTGGAGCGTGACGACGGCCGATACTGTATCACGGAAATGTAGCTAAACGGTCAACTGCATGAAATCGATATTATTCATCGTTGCGTCGTAAATAGCGTGTGAATGCAGACAGATAGCTGAATTAAAACGAATGAATGAAGAGAGACAGAGGAAGAAAGAGAGAAAATAAAGAAGTCGTATTTTGCAATCGCGGCGATCACGAGAAAAATGGGGGAACATCTCACAATCGCGCTTGGATCCAGGTTTTTTCCGCTTCAGTAAAATGGTGATGGAAAAAAAGAATAATTCGCGAATCTCTCTCTCTCTCTCTCTCTGTCTCTCTGTTCCTCTCTCTTTCGCTGGAGAAATACGAGACACACCATGGAACATAAAGTTTTTTAATAACGGCTTCCTTCCCGCGGGATTCGGATAGCCGTCAACTCTCAAAGCCACCGTCTAATTATTTATCTTCGACCATTCGCTGCGGACGGATTTTATTGCGATTCGCGAACAAGGTTACTTCTCACAGAGAGGATTTCGCGGAACGCGTTATTGCAATTCCTCCGACGGATCGCTGACGGCTCGAGCCGGTCTCGATTAAAAGACCGGGCGCATACCATGCCGATTTTTCCACGGTTTCGACCACGACTCTCTCCATCTCTCTCTCTCTCTCTCTCGCATGAAATGAAAATATATTCCGACCGATGTTCCATCAAGTTTATCGATCTTCCGGCTAACGACGCGACCAATCCCTCAAATGTCACGCGATCCTCGTGAATCGCCTAAGCGAACCACTGTTTCGCCTTCCACGACTTATCGATCTCGAGGGAGGAAAAGGGGACGCAAAACAGTGTGCAGATTTCCTATACTTCTTTTTTCACAAAGCGAGCAAAAAGTGTATGATTCAATTTGGGCGTTTTATTGAGTCGTCCGTTAAATCGCGCAATCGGATGAGCGTGCAAAGGTAAATCCCGACGTCGTTGTCGTCGTAACATGCCGACGCGCGAACATCATCGTTAACACTTAATCGAGGTGCCTCGATATTTTTAACTTACAATTTCTCCGTTACATAAATACAGTATGCACATATAAAACGTCCGAGTATTTATAGCGCGTGAACACATTTTTTTCCCCGCTATCGGGACAGAATGGCGCGCGCGCGCGCGCGCGCCTGGCTATTGTCGGCAGTACGCTTTGGCACCTAAAGGGTTCAAAGATAAGGCGAAAATTTGATAGAACCTATCAAAGGACGTGCTTTCGGGGGAATATCAGAGAAGATGATATGGAGCTAGAGAAGATGGAAGAGATCCCCTAATACCATTTCGCCCTGTCACCGGCAATCCTCCAGAACGTCCTTCCTCGCAAATCGAACTGAGATAATCTGACTATAAAGCAGCTCGTGGCGTTTCAGCTTGTGAGGCTCGTCATCGGCCCGTGTCATAATTTCAAGTGACACGTATCAGCCGTGCGTGTTCTTGCGATCTCCGTCCGCGATAAATTGTTTATTCGTCGTTTACGATTTTGCGAGACGGACATCTTTTAGGGTTCCCCAAGTCAGAGTTAGGATCTAGGAGTAGTCATTGTCCGCCATTTGTAAGGAGGAAGTGAGTGAGAGAGAAGCTACAGCGTGCTTTGTCGTTTCAGTCTTAAAGCTTCTCTCTCACTCGTACTCACGTCATCCCTAAAAATGGCAGGCAGGGTATATAGCAATGAAGAATCATCATGCTTTACCCTAACTTTGACTAGAGTTCTAAGAGAGAATTCACATCTTGATAGAAAAGCAGAAAGGGAGGTAGAAGCCAATCAGAACTCACGCTGATAGAAAAGCAGAAACTGTCGACTGCTACCATTGACGAGTTCGATAAAACTTTTGTTTTTTCATGAATTTACGCGAAGGAAATAGATACATCATCGATTCGCAAACTACTTCTACAACTTTAAAGCGTAACTACAATCGCATTGTAGACAATCCTTAACATCTCCGATGTTCTCGCGCAATCTAGGTGGATGCTGCTGCGCGTGTCTGACCTACGACTGGCTTAATCTACTTACGTTGCGATCCAGTATTCGGCTCAAATCGACGACGCATTAAATTTCTTTCGCATTCGCATATCCGGAAAAATGACAATGTTCGTCCTAGATTTGATCACCGCAATGTTATTACATTAACCTTTCAGGGCTCAGTATACATTTACATACATTCACTTTGGATCCTCGCCAAATTTTTTTATATTAGCAGGGTAATGAGATTCCGTCGATATAACACTATCGATCCATCTTAATTAAAACTATGTTCTTTGTTTTAAGCCGTGAAACAGTGATTTTTGTTGTTGAAAAAGCCAATATAGCGATCATGTGCAGAACAGAATTGTTGACGCTCGAAATTGCGCGAAGTTTTTCACGAAAACAATAAGCAAATTATTAAAAATCTATTATATAAAAAATTTTTTATTATATAAAAAAATAAACAATTTATTTTCTCGATTTTTATCGATGTTATCTTAAAGTATGTAAAAATTGATGCTTTTATGTTCATTATCAAGATTTATTAAATATACGAAAAGAATATTAAATGGCTTTGGGGTGCAAATATGAATGTATATAATTGTGTATAGTCGGTTGCAAATCGTATTTCTTGACCGTTAATTTTACTCGGAAAATAAAATTCTTTATCAGTAGCATCTTTTTAAAAACCACTTAATGAAGAACAGTATTTCACTCGAGCGGGATCAATACCTTAAAAGATTAATATTAATTTCCACGTTCTTTTTTAAAACTAACACAACGACGTCTCGTTCCGGGCGACGTTCAGATCTTTGCAATTTTTTCTGAAAATTTTTTAGTTTCGGAATCGCGACGAAGAAGATTCTACGACCTCTCATTGTTACCCCAAGTAGAGACATTATTGGTAGGCCGTGTCTAAAAATTCCTCGATCAGAGACTCACTTTCTCCCCCTTCGCGTCGAGATATTGAAACATCCGGGACTATACCGCTGCGCTCGTATAATTTATCGAGCTGTCGCACAGGCGAGTTGCCGGTGGCGTCGTCAGAGGAGTCGCTATCGGCGTACTCGACGGGCCGAGAGTCCGATTTCTCAACATTGACGGGAATCTAATTGATCGACGTGGCCGATTATGTGTCAGGTACGATGCGCCCGAGTACGAAGTGCCCAGGAACAAGTCCCGGTACAGGAGTCGATTCATGCGTCACCGCGACGGCGACGATTCCGACGGCGACTCCCGGTCGACGGTGAGGTTCACGTCGGAGCGGCAGGAGCCGTCGGCCTTGCGAGAGCGCGTGCTGGACACGGAAGACGCCGCACGCGGACCCCTTTCCGGCATATTTCGCCTCACGGACTCGCCGCGGGTCATGAAGAAGCTTCAGGAGTGTGAGCGAGCCGGCAAGAGAAAGAAGGAGGACTCAGCGAACCAACAGACCGTGGTGCAACAGCCCCAACCACCTAAGTCTCAGGTTAGAGGTCGCGCGTTTCTGAAAGAATCGGGAGATTTGCCCAAAAAAGTATAATCTTGCCTTTAGCAAAATTCTCTTATATATATATATATATATATATATATATATATATATATATATATATAGCCTCACAAGAGGATTTTTTTAAAATCAAAAGAAATATTCTTTAGCACATGATTTATTCTTAAAATTAGGGAATTTATTCTTAAAGTTAAGAATCTTTGGATATATTTGATCCGTCATTTTGAATTTTGAAATTTTGATTCAGATTCAGCGACCCAAAAATCTCCAGAAAGTAGCTTTTTATAATTTTATTAACTCTTACAAGGATTTTTTCACTCAACAGTTAAGTAGTTAAGTAATGGCTATATCCTCAACAAACAATATTTTCTTGATACGATAATTTTAAAATACATTCATCACGAATTTGAAAAATGTTCATATATATATTATCATGTACTCAAAAGAATAATTTATTCCCTTTGCAAGAATATTGTAAAACCTTATCGAAGGAAAATTGGAAAATTCGACTCGATGTAGTAAAAAAATTGAAAATTTTCTCTTAATTTAATATTCTTCATTGAAATTCTAAACTTACCAAGATTCAGAATATAATATTATTAATTCAGAACGTAATATAATTTTGGAATAAATTCGATATTTATGATAAATTTACGATAGATTTGTGGATATATAATCTTATGAAATACTTGAAACAAATAACATTTACTTGAATGCAGCATGTATCTTTCTACGTGTGTGGAGTTCTTTTTTGAGTGTTAGGATATTTTCTTTTCAAGAAGAATCCTCTTGAGATCATATGTAAGAGGATTCCGCTAAGAATAAGATTACATTTTTTTCGGATATTGGACGTTCCGAAACCGGTGAGCGGAATTCTGAATTTTGCGATCCGCGAGCAGCCGATGTCATCATTTAGACGCGGCTCAACGTCTGATGTGATTGTGATGAACCGTGTCGAACTCGAACCGCTCTGGCTTGGAACGTCCAGTCGACTATCTAGGTATTTAGCCGTGCGTGATATATCCCGAAGTATACTCGAACGCGATAGCGCGGAAGGGAACGCGAACGACGTGTCTGTCTCCTGCGAGCGGTCGATGCCGAGATTTCCGTTAGTGTCGAATCAATATCCAACACATATCGGTCGTATAATACTGAGTAGCGGCGAGGAGAGTTAACTAACTGCCGCCTATCCTCGGCCGGAGAATAATCCCGTTGTTTGCATGAGTCGCGTTTAGCACGGCGCTTCGTTAACGAGAGTCCGGGCGTAACGTAATCGCTATACTTTTGGTAAGTACATTTTCAGCATGTCTCTTTACCCTCTAATGGCAAATATTGAATTTTCCGCCGTGCGATCACTTCGATGCGATTCGCCATTATTTTTAGATCGCGCAAATATTTAGAGAACGCGCGCGCGCGCGATTTCTTTTCGTGCCGTCGGCTGAATAATGCAGCGTAACGGCGTTTCGCCATAAAAGCGTTATCATCGGATCTCGTTTACGTTTTTTTCATGAAAATGATAATTAGTTACGGCGACGGCGCGAGATTAATAATTTATTATTCAACCGTAGAGATATATACACATATATATGTATATATATATATATATATATATATATATATATATATATA